TATCAAGGCTTAGGTAGGAAAAAAAGATGCAGTACGTTGCTATGTGGTCAGAACCTCGGGCAATCAAGTTAACTTATAGTACATATGTAAGTCTATATATAGCTACATATTTTGATTATGTAGCCCAGAATTTAAATCACAAATCTCTATAGTACAAAAATTCTGCAAAAGCATTCGTATCTCAGAGACGTTCGCCGATTTCTTAAGCAAATTAACACTAAGATGCCACGTGTTCGAAGTATTGTTCCCTTTGTAGGTTTTATTGGTGCCTTTGTCCGATCTTGCGCAAGCCGACAAAAGTGAAATTGTAAAATAGTAAAAGTGTAATTTTTTTTTTTCGGCCAGGTACTCCATCCCAAAGGGTTAAAAGCAGGAAACATATTTGAATCGTTTTAGTGTTAGAACAAAGATAATTTTAAAATCCTTAAAAATTCTGGACGATTTTAAAATTAGAACTCATTTTGTTTTGTGTTTTTTTTTTGCACGCTTGCGTTTGCCTCCAATTTAAGGTGCCTCCAATTTAATTTTTAATTTGTGTATTGCTCGCAACCCTAATAGGTCTAGGACAATAAAAATTTGCTTAACAAAGGTTTCTGTGTTGTTGTAATATTTTTTATGCACTTAATTTGGTCAAGAATAATCGAATCAATCGAATCGAATAGCTGTTATTACGTCATTAGAAAACATTTTAAAAGCTTTTTTTTTGTTTTAAGCGCTTAAACGCTTCTAAACCAATCGAAGGACACAAAATACCAGTCTACTCGATAATTAAATAATACTTCTGTATTTATTAAGTGTCATATAACACATTACACGAACATGATTTTGATCACGTAACTTGATAATTAAAAAAAACAAACAAATGTGTATTTTTTTGTAAATGCTTAAATTTATTAACTCTGAAACTAACAGACGATATAAGTATCCTATCTAGATTCGAGTTACATTGTAAATATGTATTTATAGAGACAAGAATTAATTTAGCACACGGCAAAGAGTAAGTTCGTACCTACATGTTAGGTTTGAGAGGGCATGCGATGTGGCAACACTGAATGATATAAGATAAAATAAATATTTCTTAATTTAAACAAATTTGTATACTAGTGTTTTTTTTTAATTCTTAAGCTTTAATTAAAAAACTATAACAATTAATTACAAGATAGCCATGGCGTGTGACGTATGAACATACCAAAATGAAATTTAATTGAAGAAGCAAGTGATTTGTTCTTGTGATAATCTGATGATTTTTTTCGATTTACACCTTGTAATTGAAGTTATAATGATGTTATTTGATTACGCAAAGCGCACATGTACAACCATTGTATTTCACGTAGGTATTTCAAAGAATTTAAGTATGACGTGAGCTTCCACTGACGTTCGTAGCCCAAAAAAAAAATTTCAGCACCACAGAATATACAACTAAATACAGATTGAATTGTAATTTTTTTATAGTGGTAATATGTTTCAGTAAATTTTAATATTCATATTCCTAGCTTGCATATAAGCTATGAAAAGAACTTTTTTTCTACAATATTACCGTCACCAGTGACTTTTGTTTAATTAAATTTTACTTTAAAAAAATGCTAATACGCAAATTCAGATCCCGTATTCTTATTTCAAATATATAAAGATGAGAATACGGTAACAATCGGAAAATTAAAATTTGTTTGTAAGCATTAGAAGATTAATGTGAAATAATTTGGTTGATTTAATATTTGTTTTTGTTCGCAGATATTCGGGGTCCGATTTATGGGTAGTTAAAATATAGAAGAAATCCTTTTGAGATTAGAGCGTTCGAAGAAAATTTGAAACAATATTTAAGTTTTTCTTTTTCATACGATCGCAAAACCAACAAGACAAGGCGACAAGTACATTTTTTTAGGTACAATCCTTTTTGTAACGATCGTTAACTTTTGTACGCGTAATAAATTAAAAAATTAAAAGACTCTCCCCATGTTTATCTGTGTCCGTTTTTATTTTCACAATGGCTGAACCGCGATGTGTGGCCTATACAAAAGCATGAGTATAGCGACCTACGTAAAGGTGTCAAATTGTAAATGCCAAAATAGCTCACGACTACTATATAGCTTGAATGCATACTCAACATGGACGGAACAAAAAAAATAAAAAGTCATTTTTAAAAAAACTTTGGAAACCACAACCATAAGACGCTTGTTCTCAAATATAATCATTAAAATCACAAACGTTTGAGGATGTGGCACGTTCACTTAGTGCGTATTGTGTAATATTTACGAGAGCCGCTAAAGGTTGTGTCCAAGGTACCCGCTGAGAGTATCCAAGGCGAACCACAAGCGCCATTGAACGTATTTATATAATTACATAAACCACGGTTCGTGATTGTAAAGGCTCTGTCAGATTTAGTACCGAAAGATTCGATACACATAATACTGTGTGGGTCAGATAAAGTTCTTTAGCGGTGCGAATAAAAATGATACAAGAAAAATGGATTGGCAATAAGGTAGGAAAGATGCTCGAACATTCCTCCCTTTTGGAGGGGACAGCTGTTCTTTTTAACTCTAGCAATACCAGACGCAGTCTAGCCGATTTAAAGCAAATATCATTACAGAATAGAGATAAAAACTGTCCCTAGAAAAGCAATGTAGATAAGCGCTGTGGTTTGTGTTAATATGAATGGACTATGGTCCAATGTTTTTTAGAACGAAAAATGTTCCTATTATCAATTCTGTGACTTTTTTATTTTGTTTTTTTTTTCCATTACTTTGAATGTTATTATAATGACATTTCGATGATCCGATGAAAATGGTTCCCATATAGATTACGAGTTACCCTAGGAGCAAATATATGGAAGAGCAATGGAAGCAAGAACTGAAAATCTATTTATCATTTGCTTGAAACAAAAGGAAAACGATTATCGTATTATTTGAAGATTGAGTTCGTGTTTCAAGTACCTACTTACTAATTTGACGAACAAATTAGTTAACGATCTATTTCATTCCGAATCGTTGATTTTTCAAAAGATAATATGTTTATATTTTTGTGTTTTTTTTAGTAATTAATTTATTTAAATTGCTTTATAGTTTCTTCCGAATTAAATGTATAAACAATATAAAACTCAAAATGACTAGGATGTTTTCAATAATTCACTGAAATTAATAATTAAAATAGTATAGTTATTATGATGAGAAATTTTTTTAGAAACATAAATTATTTTTAAATTCGAGAAAAAAATATATTGCTTAAGTCGAAAGTTTATGAGAATCGCCACAGCTATCGTACAATAAATATTATTTGCCACACGCACTATTTATTGGTCACACGCCCAATCTACGGTAATGCTGCACATGCTAAACCAACGCTTGTATATAAATATATATTGGAAACGAACATTGAAAACTGAAGTGACAATAACTATGTTAAATATATTTTTCTATATTTAGTAAGTATGCTTTACTAAGGTATGCCTTTGAGAAATAGTGTTCGGATTATATATAGAAGTGCATATTGTGGGATCACGCCTTTCCGATATGTCCTCAACGCGTACTTGGAAAGTAAAATGTTTTTTTTTTTTTTTTTTAATAAACACAACATGAATAATTGAATGTTTAGTGAATGCAAAATCTATGGTAGTACATTAGGAACATCTAGAATTTTACTATAAATAAATAGTGAAGCTATTTGACGGAAAACGATTAAGGAAATGAGATATTGTTTTTAAAAAATATATCAAAAAAGTCTAATAATACACGAAGTACCCATANTAAAATTTTTTTTTTTTTTTTTTTTAATAAACACAACATGAATAATTGAATGTTTAGTGAATGCAAAATCTATGGTAGTACATTAGGAACATCTAGAATTTTACTATAAATAAATAGTGAAGCTATTTGACGGAAAACGATTAAGGAAATGAGATATTGTTTTTAAAAAATATATCAAAAAAGTCTAATAATACACGAAGTACCCATAATTATTAGCAAACAATTTATCTAACTTGGTGTACCAAGCAAATCCCATTTTTGTATTTTTTACAATAATTAAAGCCGTTTTTATAAACTTACCACGAAAATACTATGTAATTATAATAATTGAAGAAATACTAAATACAACTATACCGAATTAAAGTGTGTCAAATTTGAAAGAAATAATTTTCCTCAGATGCCTTTTCGTCAAAAGCTTTGATGCAAAAAAAAAACAATGAAATATCACTTAAATTTTCAATGTACATTACTTGCAGAAGCCAAGATAGGTACCTACCTTACACCAAACACCATAACTTACGAACTATATATACAAATCTTATATACGCGATGGTCGAGTACAAATTAAATTCAATTTTTGTCCCTATCTAAATAATTAATATAATTTTAATTAATATTTTTCGTTATTATTATTATTTTTTATACATATTTCATACACATTGCACAGTACATACGTCCACGATATGACGTCATTATCCTCCAAATTGTACACTCGAGGACATTTTGATGATTCGAATTTCAATAGTAACCTTTTTTTTTTGAATTATCTTTTAAGCTGATCATCAGTTATATTGTAAATAGTACTTATAGATTTGAATGAAGAAGTCGCAGTTTTTTTTTCTTTTCTATACATTAATGTGTTTAGAATTTAAATGAACTTAATTTGTTTGTTTACTTAATAAAAGACATCAACGCGATACACAAACAAATATTAAGCTTATTATCTAAATATCGATAGATAAGTGAAGCGATAACCGATAAGGTATCGATCGCATTACTTCCTCTGTTACACGCGTCCGTTACTACATGAGAACTAACTGCCGGCATGTTTTAAAAGTCCTAAAAGTCGGAGTGTACAAATTAGAGTCGAATATAATGACTATAAAGGACACTTTCTCGAAAGTTCGACATAAGATTTAGGCCTAGAATCGCGGGTCGGCGCTCGCCCTCAGCCTTCCGCGTGCACTAAACATCTATCTAAGAATGAAATGCACACAACGACGGACTCTTCGTTAACTCAAATATATACACAAATATACAGGGTCCTCGGGCGAGCGCGACCGCTCCGTAGGTAATATCACCAGAACACGTAACGCTCACTTGGAGTCCAATATCATTGATGAGATTGTCGGGTTGTGCGGCCCGGCGGCGGCAGCGGCGGCGGTGGCGGCAGCGGCGGCTGGGCTATGGCGCGGCGGACTCGTCCTGCGGCACGCACCACGAGGGCGCGCGGCGGACGGCCTACGCCAGGGGGTACTGTCACAAGGGCGGCTGCGCGTGCGCGTGGTGATGGTGGTACAGCGGCGACTGGTAGTAGTTATCCGCCGGCGAGTGCCCGTATCCATAGTTCACGTCGTACATCTTGAGATCCGCCTTGGTGTCGGCGCCGGGCAGCAGGCGGGTGATGCTGAACGGGTGCTGCGCCGGCGCGTACCCGCTCGGCTCCTGCTTGAGCTGCGCGTAGTGCTCGAGGGCAAGCGGCGTGTGCTCCGGCAGACAGAGCTCGGGCGCGGCGTGCAGCTGGGCCAGGAGCTCGTCGCGCATCTCCTTGTCCTCGCCGGGCCCGGGCGGCGCGCTCTTGTCGTGCCCGTGCTCGCCGCGCTTGTCGTGTGAGCCCCCGTGGTGTCCATGCGTCTGCTGCGCCTTCTGGGCCTGTCTCAATGTCTCTTTCTTCTCGTCCTTGAATCGTTTCTGACGTCGCAAGAAACAACCGTTTTCGAACATGTTCCCGCTGTCAGGGTGTAGCGTCCAAAAGGAACCTTTTCCGGGCTTGTCCGGTGTGCGCGGCACTTTCACAAAGCAGTCGTTGAAGGACAGCGAATGTCGGATCGAGTTCTGCCAGCGCTGCTGGTTTTGTCTGTAGAAAGGGAACAGATCCATGATGAACTGGTAGATTTCGGAGAGCGTCAGCATTCGTGAAGGATTATTCTGGATAGCCATGGTGATGAGCGATATGTAGGAGTAAGGCGGCTTCGCGTGCGTGTAAGAGCGGCGGTACGTCTTGTCGTTGCGGGCCCGCTGCAGCGCTGAGGTGGGCGAGGCGGCCTCCTGTTCTCGCGGCAAGGAGCCGTAGGGCACGGCGCCGGCGCCGCCCATGCAGGAGGCCATGGTGCTAGGCGGCGAGTAGCCGACACTCGGGGAGCCCATACACGAGCCGCCCGCGACCATGTTGTTGGAGTATAGATTCGGATAGGGCTGCGCCGGCATGCAGCCCATGCCGTTAACGTAGGGCGGCGCGAGGCCCGGCGACAGCGAGGACAGCGACGCCGACGTCGGCACGTCGCCGTACGAAAGCTTCTGCGAGATCATGGCTAGCGCATCACCCGCGCGTGCACGCCGGCCAGGGGCAAACACTCGCACTGATTGAAAGAGTAAATAGAAGCTAGGGGCCCGAGATCCCCTCCACCGTGTCGAGGATTGGTGCGGCGAGGGGCGGAGCGCCGAGGGACCCGCCCCGCGACGCGCGCACCCCACCCCGCGCCCCACCCCCGCCCCGCAGGCACAGCTTCGCGCGCGACGCTCTCCGCTGCTAATAATACCGCAGTTCCAAACGATAAAAACATGGAATTATCATAAGTGCTTTACTAGGAATGTGTGCTTGTGTGCGGCATTAAGTTTATGCATTCTTGTCGAGTTACCGAATATCTCTAAGACACTACGACTGTGTTCGGAGTTGAGAACTCTGCTGGAAGAGTACATGATGTCTTTGTGTGAGTTTCGCTTCGGTGGGATTGTAGGCGTCGTGTCATAACTAATTAATTAACTTTTACGTAATTTTGTACGGAATTGGTATTTTGAGTACCTTCAGTTTTGAGGTTCGCGGGGATCCGTTGGATACAGGCAGCGCAGGACCGATCTTTATGGCGAGGCCTAGGGAAGGCCTATGTCCAACAGTGGACGTCTGTGAGCCGATAGAATAGTTTCATCCATCGTTATGTTTCTGTAAGAAGACTGTTCTTACTGGTGGTAGGACCTCTTGTGAGTCCGCACGGGCCGGTACCACTACCCTGCTTATCTCTTCCGTGATGCGTTTCGGTTTGAAGGGTGAGGCAGCCGTTGTAGCTATACTGAGACTTTAGAACTTATATCTCAAGGTGGGTGGCGCATTTACGTTGTAGATGTCCATTGGCTCCAGTAACCACTTAACACCAGGTGGGCTGTGAGCTCGTCCACTCACCTAAGCAAATAAAAAAAAGAGATACATAATAGCAAACAGAAAAATCTAAAGAGTTACAAGATTTAACTATACAAATGGAAAAAATGGCTCCTTTAGTCAGTTTTTTTAAACTAGAATTGTAAAATACAACGTGGAAACCATCGAACAACGATTGCTGTGCTACTTGCAAAGTTATATAAATTGTAAAATCTAAACTAATCAATTGTAAACTTGAACGAAAAGCTAAATCTTATCACTGAGTAGTTTAATCATATGTTTTTTTATAATAGCAGCAAAACCACATCGATTTTGCAGAAAAAAAAATTTGCTATTACCAACACAATTGTAACTCTTCGGACTTTTTTTTTTTACTTAAATGGGTGGACGAGCTCACAGCCCACCTGGTGTTAAGTGGTTACTGAAGCCCACAGACCTCTATAACGTAAATGATAAGTTCTTAGGTCTCAGTATATTTACAACGGCTGCCCCGCCCTTCAAACCGAAAGCATTACTGCTTCACGGCAGAAATAGACGGGGCGCATTTATGCATTGTCAAGTTCAGCTTAACAGATGAGCTATTCACAACTACTAGAAGTCCCGCAGTAGTCGAAATTCGACTATAATTAATTGTAATTGTAAGTTTGTACACTATTATGATTGTATTTTATACTTCTATAGTCACAAATTTCGCCAAGGCTACACTATAAAAAAATATTAATAAAGACAAACAATATTTAATCTATTCTCAATTTGATCACAGACGTCAAGAACAAAAGTTTGACAATAAATAGTATGCATGCGTGTGTGCGTCAATTAAATGGTATGTAGTGTGTGTGATGTTTTCTTTATTGATTTAACGTATCTTTTATGCATTATTTAAAAAAAAAATTAGCATTGTGCACTTCTTCTCTATACTCTCTATAAGTGTGGAAAATTTCATTCCTCCGTCCACGCAATTTACGTAAAAAGGGATAAAAAGTTTTTGCTTCACGTATTAATATATAGATAATAACGTTTACGTTTTGTAAAATCTCATAATCGCCTTCGAGTATTAGAAAATTTGTTTACTTATTACCCAGTGATGTCTACATTAGATATAAACAAACAAATTAACTAATGAACTTAAACAAAAAAAAAAAACTAAAATAAACAAATTAGTTAACTGATTCATTTACGACTAACGGTTTTCGGAGATAAGCGCATCTGTTAATTACGTTTTTAAGGTTTCTGTTAACAATAATGTAGTTTAAATCGAGAACTTAAGATATTTATGACCTCTTAGATATTAATGACCGTTATCTCATTTAGTTAAGATATTAATGACCTTTCACTGATTTTGTTTTGCAATTTTAGCAAACGTCCATAGTGAGGATGTGTTTAACTAGCAGCATTTCATTTCACATCTAACAACTAGAACAGTCTTTTTTTATAATTGAATGATTACCGGTAGCTCGGAGGCCTTTGCAGTTTCATCAGCACAGGTGGGCGAGCAAAGGCTCAACCAGGAGGGGTGGGATTTGCTAACAATTGCCCGAGCACCTCCGAAGGAGATCTAACAACTCAAGAGCAATTGCTTCGCGAATGAATCTACTACCGGATCGGAATCGCGACCCGCTGAGAAGATCCGGCCAGAAACTCAGCGGGCTGATGCATGGGTACTAGAACAGTCATCATTCTGATGTGATCAAAACTTCAGATACCTTATTTTTTATTGATTTGGAAGGCAGATATAACGTTTTATCTGTTGGTGACAGCTTAACTTCGCTCATGGAAATCAACAATACCAATGGCATAGCTAAGTCGCAACAACCTCAACGCTGGAAGTTGTCCATCTTATTTCGGGCACCGGTAACCACTTAATATCAGACAGGCCATCGTTTCATCTGTCGTCCACACCGATAGATGAAGATTATGGAGGTTCTTCAACGAAAAACCATCACCATCGACCATAGCTTTAATCACAAGTGAAAATAGCTTAAAGTATTTTTTTATCAAAAAAATATCTCTCTGTACGAGAGAGCTTAACTACTTGTTTTTCTTTGTATACAAAAAAAATCGTTAGTAAAATAGTGAAAGCAAATTAACATATTCTCCGAACGACAAAAACCAGTCATTATTTTGGATAGTAATAATACTCGAATACGCAAAAATAAAGAAATAAAATGGAAAAACTCAAGCAAAACAAAGTTAATAGTAAGCTTTTCCAAGTAAACGGTGGTACATTATGTCGATCTTTTTATGTATTATCTATGTATGAATACTTAAATGGAAAGAGATAATGTTACCGAGTACCGGTATGGAGAAAGGAGGAGGGCAATATAAGGGTACATTCTAATTTGGACTTTTTTTGTCGGAGCATTTATTTTACTGTGATTAATCTTTTCTAACAGTTACAATTCTTGTTGTTGCTTCAGGAAACAGAGTACATTTTCCAACAAGTTTTAAGGTTATTGGAGTCGATCAGTTCATAATGTCTGCTCATATCTTGATTTTTACTGGTAAGTACTACTATGAGTCCGCATAAGCAAGCACCTAACCACAGAGGCTGCCAATATAAAAAAATCACACTAACTGGGCCGTTGGATCATAGATTCATTTAAAGCGTAATAAAATCAATAAACTCACCTAATTATAAGTTTTCTTTTTTATTTTATCTTTATTTTTTCCTACCTATGCTAGTGGCCTTGGGAGGCCATTTCAGCGTAACCCTAACTAGTAGGTGAGCTCACGGGGCTGAAACCTGACGACGTTGCTAGCATTAACCCTAACAAGAGCGCGCTTCGCAGAATCTACCACCGGATCAGAAACGCGACCCACTGAGAATCTGAGAAGATCTGGCGAGAAACTCAATTGGGCTAAAGTGTTTTTTTTTTACGTTTCCCGAACTTATCTATAAGTATATCTGTTTGAAATGTTTTTATCATAGCGTTTAATATATAAAGTGCAAAGTGGAGTAAGACTGTCGCTGCGACACCGGATCCGAGCTAATGGTGGATGCGTGTACCGCGCCCTGTGCAACCCGAGCCGACTTTACCGGCTACTTTCCACATACACGTGGCGATGTGTTACTGGATTTCACATAACTTAGTTTCACTCCTATCGTACGATAAGTACATAAATATATGAAGCTAATGAAAAATATTTTGTTCCCTCAGATCCAGGCATCTTTCGTCCCATTGCCGGCGAATTACTGGTGATAGGACCTCTTGTGAGTCCGCACGGGTAGCTACCACCACCCCGCCTATTTCTGCCGTGAAGCAGAAATGCGTTTCGGTTTGAAGGGTGGGGCACCCGTTGTAACTATACTGAGACCTTAGAACTTGTATCTCAAGGTGGGTGGCGCATTTACGTTGTAGATGTCTATGTGATTCAGTAAAAACTTGACACCAGGTGAGCTGTGAGCTCGTCCACCCATCCATACAATAAAAAAAAAAGAATCTAGAATCTTACATTATTTTTTAATAGTTGTAGATCGTGTTGTAAGCTCGCTCGAGTAGTAAGACCGTCTTGTTTATTTTCGATGCCAGGAAATCATATGTAATTTCCAGCTTGAAAGATTCGACCATCGTTTTTTCCCCTACTTATACGCTGATAGCCTAAGGGGCTATTCTAGTTACGCGCGGACGGGTAAGTGAGCTCTCGGGCTCAAACTGAGAGAATTTGCTAACACTAGCCCTAGCAAGAGCAACGCTTCGCAGAATCTACCACCGGATCAGAATCGCGACCCACTGAGAAGATCCGGCGAGAAACTCAGTGGGTGGGCCAATCACTCCAATATAGACTTCATTCTCGTGCTTCAAAGTGAACGGCGGTATTTTCATTCAATATATTTAAGCTTCTTAATGAAGCTTAATAACAACCGTGAGCTTATTCAGTCAGTCAATGTATAATTGGCAATGTCAGAGGTACGTACAGCCAAGACGTCACATATCCACATAATCATAAAGTTTGGGAATCATTGTCATAGGCTATTTTGATAATACATATTATGTCCGCTTGTCGATCAGAATATATGGGGAGGGAAGGAAAGGGAGATCTTTATTGTCGTTTGGACACGAATACCGAAGACCTGATGTTAAGTGATTACAGCCACTCGTGAACGTCAGACTATGCAAATCAAAAATAACTCATTTGGAAACTCGTTTGAAGAATACCTATCAAAGCATTGAGAAGAAATGATCAGAACGTGATTTTGCGT